TTGCTTACTCTTCTCTTTTCATATTCCCAAGTTCCTCTGGAGTCATTATACAGAACAGAGCATACTGGGAAAGCATTATGTTTAAAAGTCTCTAAGGATGCAGTGTCCATTGATGGATGAATGGATAAATTGTGGTCTATATACACAATGAAATCAATGGAATATTATTCAACCTTAAAAAAGGAGATCCTGCAATTTCCAACAACATGGATAAAACTGGAGGACATTATATTAAGTAAAATAACTAGATACAGACAGATACTACAAGATCTCACTTATAAATGGAATCTTCTAAAAAAAAGTCAAATAATTAGAAACAGAGAGATCAAATATGTAGAAATAGAATAGAGTAGTCGTTACCAGGGATGGGGTGTTGAGTGGGGAGAAGGGGAATAGATGAGGAGAGGCAGGTCTCTTTTGGTAGCAAGTTGCAACTACAAAGGATGACTAAGTCTAAAGATCAAATATACAGCATGAGGACTGTGGTTGAAAATAGTGTATTGTACACTGGAAATTTGCTAAAAGAAGATTTTAGGTGCTCTTACCACCCCCAGCCCCTCACACACAAAAGGTAACTGTGAGATGATGGATGTGTCCATTTGTTTGACTGTAGTGATAATTTCACTGTGTATATCAAAACATCATGTAGTACACCTTAACATATACAACCAAAACGTTTAAAATATTTTTTTAAGCGAATATCCATTTTCCTTACTTGGGATAGTTTATCTTTTTCCTTCTCTCTGCCAATTTGGATAGAAGAATGGCACCTTATTATTTTACTTCGCAGTTGTTATTACTAGTAAAAAAAAAGAATGATTTTACATATGCTTCTTGTCCACTGAGCTATCTTTTTTTTTTTTTTTTTGAGATGGAATCTTGCTCTCTCGCCCAGGCTGGGGGGCAGTGGCGCAATCTCCCTCCCTCCCTCCCTCCCTTCTTCTTGTTTTTCTTTTTCTTTTCTTTTTTTTTGGAGACACGGTCTCCCTCTGTAGCCCAGGCTAGAGTGCAGTGGCATGACCTTGGCTCACTGCAACCTCCACCTCCCAGGTTCAAGGATTCTCGTGCCTCAGTCTCCTGAGTAGGTGGGATCACAGGCATGCACTGCCATGCCAGCTAATTTTTGTATTTTTTGTAGAGATAAAGTTTTGCCATGTTGGCCAGGCTGGTCTCCAACTCCTGGCCTCAAGTAATCTGATCACCTCCGCCTCCCAGAGTGCCAGGATTACAGGCATGAGTCACCATGCCTGGATTATACCAATAAAATTTTTTATTTTGCATTTTGTAACTTCTGAGTAACTATAATAGAATTCTTATAAGACACTGTTATAATAAAAATAATTTTGTGATATTTCACATGTAATTTCACTATATAGAAAATCAGGTATTGTAATTTTACAGGTGACTTAGGAGAGGTGACCTGACTGAAGTTCAGTGAGTCACATTTTGATATTATAGTATATACGAGACCACAGAGTAAAGAAGAAATCACCACTGAGGAAGTTTGTAAGGAATTATTTATTCACCAAATATGCTTTTGGAGACCTGTCTTCTTTCTTGGTTGTTTTTCAGAATTCAGTTTTCCCCCTATGTTGTGTAACGTGCCTGTGCTAAGGAAAGATTAACTTTCTAAATGACTGCAGACCATACCGAGTGGGTGGTGTTGCTCTGTTTTCGCTATGTTCCTTAAAAAGCAGCTCACTTTTTTTTTTTTGGAGATGGAGTTTTGCTCTTGTTGTCCAAGCTGGAGTGCAATGGCATGATCTTGGCTCATGCAACCTCCGCCTCAGGGGTTCAAGCGATTCTCCTGCCTCAGCCTCCTGAGTAGCTGGGATTGCAGGCGCATGCCACCACATCCGGCTAATTTTTTGTATTTTTAGTAGAGACGGGGTTTCACCATGTTAGCCAGGCTGGTCTCAAACCCCTGACCTCAGGTGATTCGCCAACCTCAGCCTTCCAAAGTGCCACGATTACAGGCGTGAGCCATCATGCCCGACCAGCTCACTTTTTAAAAATATATATTTTATTTTAAGTTCTGGGGTGCATGTGTAGGATGTGCAGATTTGTTACATAGGTAAGTGTGTGCCATGGTGTTTGCTGCACCGATCAACCCATTGCCTAGATATCAAGCCCCACATGCATTAGCTATTTATCCTGATGCTCTTCCCTCCTCCCCCCTGCTCCTGACAGGCCCTGGTGTGTGTTGTTCCCCTCCATGTGTCCATGTGTTCTCATTGTTCAGCTTCCACTTATGAGTGAGAACATGTGGTGTTTGGTTTTCTGTTCATGTGTTAGTTTGCTGAGGATAATGGCTTCCAACTCCATCCATGTCCCTGCAAAGGATGTGATCTCGTTCCTTTCATGGCTGCATAGTACTGCATATGTATATGTACCACATTTTGTTTATCCAGTCCATCGTTGATGGGCATTTGGGTTGATTCCCTGTCTTTGCTGTTGTGAATACTGCTGCAATAAATATACGTGTGCATTTATCTTTATCCCATAATAGAATAATTTATATTCCTTTGGGTATATATCCAGTAATGGGATAGCTGGGTCAAATGGTATTTCTGGTTCTAGATCCTTGAGGAATCACCATACTGTCTTCCACAATGGTTGAGCTAATTTACATTCCCACCAACAATGTAAAAGCGTTCTTATTTCTCCACAGCCTCACCAGCATCTGTTGTTTCTTGACTTTTTAATAATCACCATTCTAACTGGCATGAGATGTTATCTCATTGTGGTTTTGATTTGCATTTCTCTAATGACCAGTGGTGCTGAGCTTTTTTTCATATGTCCGTTGGCCACATGAATGTCTTCTTTTGAGAAGTGTCTGTTCATGTCCTTTGCTCACTTGTTGATGGGATTGTTTGTTTTCTTTTTTCTTATAAATTTGTTTAAGATCCTTGTAGATTCTGGATATTAGCCCTTTGTCAGATTGGTAGATTACAAAATTTTCTCCCATTCTGTAGGTTGTTTTTTCACTCTGATGATAGTTTCTTTTCCTGTGCAGAAGCTCTTTAGTTTAATTAGATCCCATGTGTCAATTTGTGCTTTCATTGCAATTGCTTTTGGTGATTTCATCATAAAATCTTTGCCCATGCCTATGTCCTGAATGATATTGCCTAGATTTTCTTCTAGGATTTTTATGGTTTTGGGTTTTACATTTAAGTCTTTAATCCATCTTGAGTTAATTTTTATATAAGGTGTAGGGAAGGGGTAAAACCAGTTTTGGTTTTCTGCGCATGGCTAGCCAGTTTTCCCAGCAACATTTATTAAACAGGAAATCCTTTTCCCATTGCTTGTTTTTGTCAGGTTTGTCGAAGATCAGATGGTTGTAGATGTGTGGTCTTATTTGTGAGATCTCTATTCTGTTCCATTGTTCTATGTGTCTGTATTGGTACCAGTACCATGCTGTTTTGGTTACCGTAGCCTTGTAGTATAGTTTGAAGTTCACTAGCATGATACCTCCAGCTTTGTTCTTTTTGTTAAGATTGTCTTGGCTATATGGGCTCAAAAAGTAGCTCACTTTTAAGCTTTTTTTTTTTTTTTTCTTTTTTTGCTTGTATACACCAAAGGTGGTGTTGGTTCCAAATGAATTCTCAAGAATAATATCTAAACAGACATGTGCTTGGCATGGGCATTGACATTTACATTGGTTTGTGTGATTTCTTTTACCTTTAAGATTGCTTCTGTTTCTAAAATTACTTTCTATAGTGTCATTTCATTATTTTAATACCACTCTATTTGAATATGATACCAGACCTCATGGAAGTCAAATAGCATTTCTCCTGCAAAGTTGGCTATTGCGAATGATGTTTTTAACGTCCTTTGAGGTGGAGTGGTTATTACCTGGAATGTGACAATTTCAATCTTTCATAATAGCTGTGTGCTTTGTTGCATTTTAAAGACATTTGCTCTAGAACAGTTGAAGAATTAGGTGCTTGTGTGTTAAAAATTATCTCAAGGGAGAAGTTGTTTAGTTTAAGCTTAATCTAAATAAAAGATAACCTGTCATACTAATTTTTAATAAGGCTTTAGTAAGATGGATGTCCAGAATTTAGCTTAATTGCTTCCACTACAATGTAAGAGTGATTTGTGTGTCAAAATTAAGCATGTTGGCAGGTCATCCTGTAAAAGTTTGTATGTGGAGTTGAAGTAAACTTACATTTTTACTTGAAGCTCTTTTTAACAGTTTATTTCTTCTGCCAGTTATTTTATTGACTGTTAATTTACCACCCCTCTTAAAAAAAAAAGGTGAGAGGAAAAAGGCCACAGCATCATCACATTTATATATGAGTTCCCTAAACCATATGGTGATTTCTAATTAGAATACAAAAGATTCTGTGATGAGACTAACTTCATAGTAGCTGTAACAGTGGGCATCACAGAAGGAGAGAGTTTTCTTCAGTTTCCAACAAGGAGACTTTTGAGAGAAACTGTGTGGTCTATAATTGTCCTTATACTAGAAGTCTGACAAAGTTATTGATGTGCATATCAATTTGGTATTTCGAAGGTAGTAATTTAATTCTGGAGGTTTGATCCTCTCAGTCAGTGGCTTGACTTGATTTTTTTTAAATGCAGCTTCAATATTTAATTTCACATGTACCCTCTCAGTAGAGATTTCAAAGGATACTTTGCTGGATGCTTGACTGCCTTGTCTATTTGCTCTTGTTTTGCATGCAAGAGAGAGCCAGAAGCTTTCTTCTCATTGTGTACACATGGTATTAATGGATTTACTCTGCCTGTATCGTCTCATTACTGGAAACAGCTAGAAGCACAGAAGTCTTTCAGTGTATGCAAATAAGGCAGAATCATCTACCTGAGAGTTAATATTCTCTGCTTTTAAGTGTATTCTAAATCTAATGTTTGTATTTAGAGCATAACATCCTGTTCTTTTTTTTTTTATGGGCAAAAAGCTAAGCAGACTCAGGCAGCTGTTTGATGTTGGCTTCAAGTGTTATTAATTTCATATTCTATTATTCTTTTCACTGTAGCACAAGTGAAGCTGATGTGGAGGCTGTCATGGATAAGTTGTTTGATGAGCTGGCTCAGAAACAAAATGATTGTACGTAAGTTAATTTCTCTTGAAAGAGAATACATTTAGAACACAATGCCCAATCTCCACTGACCAATTAATAAGTTCCATTGCTGTATATGGGTTGATGCCACGCTCAAGTGGCAGTCATTGTATCAGCATTTTGTCTAATTTATGTGTTGAATCATGTGCTATTATTCATCAAGCTATGCATTTCCTATCTGTAAGAGATGAATTTTATAGTAATTATCCAGACAAGATTGAGTCTTTGTTCATGTTCCCATAGTAACTAGACCAAGGATTCTAAAAGTGCAAGGCAGAGAGCTGCGCCTGAATAAAGCCTGTGGAACCATTGCCGACTGCACATTTGAAGAGCTGTGTGAGAGAGTAAGTATCCAGGCACGTCCAGACTCACTGGCCTTTTCACATGTTAAAATACTTCATGTTTTCCTCTCTGCCCGTTTCAGATTTTAAAATACCATTCACAGAGTCAGAACCGATTTAAAAGTCTCATTAAGGGAAATACTCATCTATATTTGCCATGTGCTTGTTATAGATATTGGCACAAAATTTGCACTTAGAAGGGCTCTAATGCAAAATTAGAAATGCAGAGAGAACTGTCAACTGTTGCTAGAAGCAAAAATAAAATCCGTTTTGGGGCTGTTTTGTAAAAGTCAAACATAAGAGATTTTGGAAAAATATTTGAGGTGAGAGTTAGTGTGTGGGAAAAAGGAAGATGAAATAATGCTAGCATGATCCAAGGAAGCATCACATAAAATAATTTCCACCCCTTGTACTCATTGCCCATCTATTATTGCCATAACATCGGACCTACCAGGGCCAGGGTCAAAGAAGGTGAATTTCTGTAACTGTGACATTTATATTATATAATAAATAATATGTTCAACAGAGAAAAAATGTTTACCAGTATATGCACACATTCATATAACTGAGAAAGATCTTGACTGCAGATTCATTATAGATATGAATTCTGCCTTAAAAAATCTGGAATTCTCAGTACTCAATGGATATTCAATGTATTGATTGCAAATCTTGAGGAAAACATATTCAAATTAGATAGAATTTTAAGCTTAATTTCTCGATGGACATGCTTAATTTATCATTCTAGCTGGTCTCTGATTTATCTTGACTTTTAGGTAACTAAAGAACAGTTGCTTTTCAGTAAGGGAAAAGACAAAATACGTATACCTGCGGCCATTTTATGAGTGCTTTTCTTAAAAGCTAGTGACAGCCGGGCGCGGTGGCTCCCGCTGGTAATCACGAGGTCAGGAGATTGAGACGATCCTGGCTAACACGGTGAAACCCCGTCTCTACAAAATATACAAAAAATTAGCCGGGCGTGGTGGCGGCGCCTGTAGTCCCAGCTGCTGGGGAGGCTGAGGCAGGAGAATGACGTGAACCCGGGCGGCGGAGCTTGCAGTGAGCCGAGATCACGCCACTGCACTGCAGCCTGGGCGACAGAGCGAGACTCCATCTCAAAAAAGCAATTATTTAGCACTTCAGAACCAGTGAAGTTTAGGATCAATGAGGATCCTCCGATAGGGTGGTAATGTTGATTTCTGTTAGTGAAAGTCATTCTGGGTGATATGGACCTTTCAGATCTCTCCTGGATCAATCTTTAAGGTCCTGATAACCTAACATCTCCTGACAAAATTCTATTAAGGCTCCCACTTAGGTTTGACTTATTTTGCAAGAAAAAATCAACTTGAGAAGAATCTTGTATATCCAAAAGATGAAGCTCCTCCACTCTCTGCAGAAGAGGACCCAGTGGGGAACGGGAAAAGACAGGCGTGTTGAATCTTGGGGGAGGAAGGCAAAGATGGTCTCTTTTGGAACAGACACTGAG